TTTTATAGTATAACTTCAAATTAGGGATTATGATGCCTCCCACCTTGCCTTTGTTGCCCAGAATTACTTTTGCTATTCTACATCTCTTTGGTTCCAAATGAATTTTAGGATTGTTTTCTCCATTTCTCAAGGAATGTTATTGGTATTTTGATTATGATTGCATTAAACATGTATATCAGTTTTGGAAGTCTGACCATTTTCACTATATTGATTCTGCCAAGAGCAAGGGATATCTTTCCATTTTCTGATATCCTCTTCAATCTCCTTTTTCAGAGTACTGTAGTTTTCAATCTATAAGTCTTTTATGTCCATTAGATTGATTCCTAAGTATTGCATTTTTCTTGATGCTGTTGTGGAAAATGTTTCTCTAATTCTTTCTCAGTGGGCTTGTTATTCAAATACATGAATTCTATTGATTTTTAAGTGTTGACATTGTATCCTGCTATGCTGCCAAATTTGGTTATTAATTCTAGGAGTCCTTTGGTGCAGTTTTGGGATCTTCTATGGAGAATATCATGTCATCACCAACTAATGATAATTTAATCTCTTCCTTTCCCATTCTTATTCTTCTCGTTTCTTTTTCTTGTCTAATTGCTCTAATGTTTCTAGAACTATATTGAACAGGAGTGATGATAGGGACATCCTTGTCTTGTTCCTGATTTTAGAGTGAAAGCTCTCAGTTTTTTGTCCATTTAGTATGATGCTAGCTGTTGGTTTGTCATAGATGGCTTTTATCAGATTGAGATAAGGACTTTCTATTTCAATTCTCTGTAGGTTTTTTTTTTTTTATCATGAACATATGTTGGACTTTGTCAAATGCTTTTTCTGCCTCTATTGAGATGATCATGTTTTTTTCCTTGGTTCTGTTAATGTGGTGTGTTACATTTACTGATATACATATGTTGGACCATACCTGCATCCCTGGGATGAATCCAACTTGGTCATGATATATAATCTTTTGATGATTTACTGCATTCTGTTTGCCCTTTATTTTGTTGAGGAGTTTTGAGTATCTATGTTCATTAAGGATACTGACCTATAGTTCCCTTGTTTGGTTGGATCCTTCTCTGGTTTTGGTATTAGGGTAATGCTTGCTTCCAGGAATGAGGTTCCAAGCATTGCTTCCCTTTCAATTTCATTAGAGTTTGAGAAGTAGTTGCATTAGACCTT